ACAAATACAAACGATACGTTGTGATTGTGTCTTATATTCCAAGTGATATTAAGCAAATCTCAATGCCCAATAAACGAAGTGCGCCATACATTGATAGCAAATATCTACGACCTCTGTTCCCACTTCAACCATTACTTATTCGAATAGAAGCTCCCAATCCCACTGGATTGATCTGCCAATCTGAAAAGTGCCGATTCCGACCGGAACATTCAACCAAGTATTGGAACCCAACACGACAAACACCACAGAATCCGTTGATAGGTATAAGTGTGAGGAGCCTATTATGTTTATTTGCGGGGAATCAACAATATACTCATATTCTTCACACCTTTGCTCCAGTGTCAATTCGACAAGGGTTACTACCGATCATTTCCCAAGGACCTCTTCCAATCTAAGGTCGCTCTAATTAACCAAGCTCTTAGGACAAATCCACAGCAGTCAGCCATCCAACGACAAATATTCAAAGACCACCAACTTGCAATGCAGCTAAATCAGATCGACGGTCCTCCAGCCCCTCTTACACCTCCTGCGACTCAAAAACAGAAGAGTGACAAGTCTAAATCACCATGCAAAGGTGTTGATGGCCAATTTGCGCCATCACATAACCGACGCAAGAATAACAGCTGCAAAGCTGGGGCGTGCTCTGCGGTGAGTTCAATTGTTTTACATGATCAAAGCTATATTTCTGCTGACCAACGCATCGTTTAACTACTATTGTTTAGTGCTGTGATACGCTAAACCCACACCATTGTGTTGCACACACGGCCGCGCGCAAGAAGCGCAAGTCAAACGAGGAAGGACCCAGTATCAACAACGGCCAGGACCTCCTCACCAACACGGAAGATACTCATACTCAACACGCACCACTAGTCACTAGAGACATTTCCCGTCGAATCTGTGGTATTACTGAGAATCAAAAATTCATTGACCTTGAACTAGAGAAGCAAGCCAAGGATCACGTCCGAGAACAACAAGACTTACAGGCCAACGGTAATGTGACTATTTACTTGTGGACCACCACCGTAAGGGCCTATCAAACTATCTACAATCCATGTGCTCGACTGACTTGCTGGTTATTTATTACCACAGGCCAAGCCTCTCATGATACGAACCAATGTGCCAGGATGGCCTGACTTTGCGATTGTAGACTCAGAAGAGATCAGAGAGTTGATTAAGGAGGTACTTGGTGAGGGTTGGAAAGGCCTATTAAAAGTATGGAATGAACAAGAAAATGATTGGGTATGACACCACCTTTCACCTCCTTTCACATTCTACATTCTGAGGCGCCAACTCCATCACTGATTATATGTTCTGGTTTTCAATTAGGCTAACATCACAATGTCATATAGGGAGCGGTATCCTCTTGACACTCGTAAATTGCTCGTCATATTGCCAGGTATTGAACCTGCCACTTGTTCTGATATGGAAACTCATTTAAAATCATTAGTCAAAGCCACAATATCGGACTTAATGGATACCCGACCCTTGCTGCCCTGGCTCGATCAGAAAAAAACTGCATCAAACACAACCACAAAGATTGTGGAAACGGGTCGTATGAGGCAGTCCAGAATGGCTGACGTGATCGAAGTTTTGACCTCCGACGAGGAAGATGACCTTGACGAAACCGGGACTCACGGTGACACCGATCCCAAAAACCCCAGTGGCCATCTCACACCAACCCCTAGGCCTACCAACGATACCAATATCCTTAATCATCTTCCCCAACAGCCACAACTACCCCTTGCCAAACTCAAACGACCCAGGGTCTCGTCGGTGGGCTCCGACGACGAAGCGGAGTCATGGCCGACCGGGGTTACCATGAAACTCATGGTAGATTTCCTACATGAGTCCAATAAGACTACCGTAACCGGTGGCTGGAAGAGAGTATTTGGGAAATCGCACGAGAACCAGTTCCATTACTCAACAGCAACTAAGTATCGACGTTGGCTGGAAGGCATTGACAGTGATGAGTTAGCTGAGTATGTCGAAATCAATAAAAATCACACCGTTAAACAAGGCAAGGAGCGATTCTCAAGTGAATGGAAATCAGGCGATCGGCGATTTGCAGAACGTGAAGCAGCTCAGGAGGCCAAGAAGCGCAACACTAAGATGATCAAATTATGATAATTTCCATCTACTTTCTTGTTATTATTTTGGGTGTTAAACCCACTATGTTTCTTTCTTTAACTGATATTGAATATAATTGTAAATATATGCACACTGTTTTTTTTACTTCCTATTAGTTCTTGTCTGCTTGCAATGATATCTACTGAGTATTTCTTATCTTCGACTTGCACCCAAATAAATCTGAGGGTCAAAATCTACAACCACAGATATATATGTCTTTGCTTACATATACAAAAAATGAATTCAACTGTCAAACAGGTTTGACGATATCTCATCTAACATGATTTACAAAAACCTCGTAATACAAAGAACGAGTTCTGCAAATAACAACATGGAAAAATATCTTTCAAATAAACTCTTGAGCAACCAAGTATGAAATCATTCCTCTCGCAAAATGGAGACATCTGAGGATGTGAGTAGTTCACAGATGTAGTTACACTCGTGGTCCCAACCAAAGTGGAAAAACGCCATTTCAGTCGTGGTGTCACCTGCTTTATCACTGTCCATGTGTAAACAACTCATCAGATGAAGTGACATCACAATGAATGCAAAAGATAGATGATTCACCTTTTGTTACAGCACGTAACGTTTGAGATGGTACCTTCGATGTCACAGTCGATTTGGCTGACTAATGTTTTACCAAGACTGGCATCATATGCGTAATGAATCAAAGC